ATATTATGATATATTATATTATATTATATAATATAATATATCATAATACAATAATATAATATAATATATAATATAATAATAATATATAATATAATATATAATCCCCACCAGCAGTCTCTCCGCTGCCTCCTCTTTGCTGATTGGCTCCTCTTCGTCATCATCCATCAGCTCGTTGGGGGAGTCGTCTGACGCAGACTCCGCCTCCGCTCCTAAACAGGAAGCAGATTTTCAGAGTAAAACATCAGGAAAACAGGGTTTATTAGAAGAACAACCACAGGTAGGTTAACAGGAGTTCAATCTGTAGGAATCAGAGATTTTCAGAACAAAACTACAAGAAAACAGATTTTCAGAATAAAACTACAAGAAAACAGATTTTCAGAATAAAACTACAAGAAAACAGATTTTCAGAATAAAACGACAAGAAAACTGATTTTCAGAGTAAAGCTTGTAGGAAACAAAAATCGAAGAAAAGAATAAATTAAAAAGGAGATTTGTTTTACAATATAAATAAAGTTTTCTTTATAAATAAATGTTGGGACGACGAAATAAAAGTTATGCACAAAAATAAATAAATCTAAATAAAGCAATAAGTAACCGAGCAGACTTTTAAAATTAGTTTTATTAGATTATGTCAAATAAAAAGTGGATTTATTTATTTGGTTTAAAGAATCAGGTAAAAAACACACACCGGAGGGGGCGGAGCTATCCTTCTCTGCGATCCCATTGGCTGTCAGAGCCAGCTGCTGCAGGGAGGAGGGGGGGGCGGGGGGGCTGCTGTTGTTCACTGAGACAGAGAGAGAGAGAGTATTAATATCGCACACACAGACACGCACACACAGACACGCACGCACACACACACACACACGCACACACACACACACACACCGCAGCCGCAAACACACTCTTTAAATACCCTGCTCTCACATACCACACATACCGTACATACCAAAACACAAACCACACACACACACACACACACATTATTCCACACACACACACACACACACACATTATTCCACACACACATTATTCCACATACACATTATTCCACATACATACACACACACACACACACACACACATCATTCCACATACATACACACACACACACACACACACACACACACACACACACACACACACACATGAGCTGATCAATCAAACCACATGTTCATCCTGATTGGACCACATCTCAGGACAGGCCGTGTATATGCTCATTATATTATAACTCTGTAACCACGTGTGGCAATATGAAAGAAAGATACACACTAATTGAAATAGTTTTTATTAGTAAATAATGATGTTCAAAATAAAATAGTCCCTCCGTTGCCTTCTGCACGAAACATGGTGCGAGCTGGTTGCTAGGCAACAACACTAACAGCTAGCGAACACATCAGACGGAGAGCGTTGATCCATTATCTGGCTCTTTATTCACATGTGTTTGTTGTTGTTTGTTGTGCAGCCACTGGAACCTGTGCAGCATCAGCAGCTTGGCTCACGAGGTCACTTGGATAATAATCATTTAATAATTCTTTACATTTATTAAAGCGCTTTCCCAGATGCTCAAAGCGCTTTACAAATACACATTACACATATATCATACATGCAATGGTCACTGTGGACAAAACCCACAGGAGCAAGTTCAGGTGAAGTGCCTTGCCCAAGGACACACCGGCTTTACAGACGCAGCAGCAGCGGCGGGTTTCACCCCTTGATCTGATGATCATTGCACAGCGCACAGCGCACTGCGCCACCCGTCCCAATATAGTGTAGGTTGAGGTTGTTCTGGCTGTTGCTCGGCGTGGAGAGAATATCGCTCCACTCTCTCCGGTCCTGAGACTCGGCTTCCAGCAGCTCTGAGAGAGCTTTGCACCTGTGGCCACTAACGCTCATCATGTCTCTGCTTTGGTTCAAGACCCCATCAGAAAGCTTCTGAATGGAGGTCCTTTCCAGTTGGTCTGCCTGCTCTTCACGTAGCTCTGCATGTCGTCCTGTAGGTGCTCTCTGGAGAGAGGCACTGCTCAGTCCACTCCTCCACAGTGAGACCCCCCCCCCCCCCCCGAGGTCCACGCTAACCTCACATGTTTCCATCTTGTGCTTTGTACGTTTGTTTTGTAACGGACGAAATGTAAATATATTTATAAAACGGACAAGTCAAATCAAGCAATCTGATTGGTCGATAGCGTTATTGAGGTCCTCTTTGATTACAGATTTGAAAACATGGCTGCTTGCTTTAAAAGTATCAGAACTCATGATGTCAGACCTTGGAGAGTATCTAGATACCCTGCCCTGAAGCCAAGGAACTGCACACTGAATACGTCTCTGTCTGGAGCGCTGCGTAAGAAGGAGCTTTCTGCCTCGTTGCTTCTCCGCTGCTATTATTACACTGAGCTGTATGCAGAGTGTCAGAGTATCTGCAGTACAGAGAACAAAATGCATTATGGGTTTTTCTGTATAACGCAGTATCTTAGTGAGTATTTTGACTATTCAGCAGCTCCTGAGAGTACCGCTTGTATTAAAGTACGTGTTTCTGCATATTTTCTGTATATTTAAGTGTGTACTCGTGTTACAGAGGCTCCTCAGTGTACTACATGTATATATAGTGTATATAATGTGTACGTATAGTATTAGAGGTAGTACTTGTGTTCTGCAGCAGTTCTTGCAGCCCCTGACTGAACAGCAGGCTCCGGAGGCGCTCCACCTCGTCCTTCAGCTCTCGGATCAGTCTGGCGTTCGGATCCTCGTTGATGATGGCGTTGCAGCGGATCTGTTTGGCTCGGTCTGCGTACCTGTATATATATATATATATATATATATTAATACGTGTGTATAAGAGAGTACTGCAGTATATATATATATATACAGTATATGAGTATTTACCTCAGGGTGCTGAGTGTTTCCTCGTAGTTGATGTCGGCCGGACTCAGAGCCGCGATCATCGCCGTGCGGGAGTTCCCTCCTGAAGGAGATACACATTTAAGACTTTTTAAAAACCTTTCCACCAGATGTGCTCCAGCCAGCCTGAAGCATCCTCTGTGCTCCAGTCCTCTCAGTGAACACAGAGCTCCAGATCCATAACGTCAGGGTGATTGCACGTTCCCACACCCTAAAGCCAGACACTCTGAAGTGCGAGCAGTGATTCTCCAGAGAGTCATGAACAGAACATATCGTCTGAATCCTCTGAAGCCATCCGGACAGGTTTGATTAAATCTGCAGCTTCCTCAGACTGTTACGCAATGAGTGATGTTGAGACTGACCCAGGTTCTCCTTCAGCAGCCAGGTGAGCACGGAGTCTCTGTACGGGATGAAGTCGCTCCTCCTCTTCTTGTTGCTCTGCTACACATTCAGAAATCATATTTAAATGATATCACAAACAAGAACAAGAAAAACAAGTTTAATTCTTAAAAGGAATGAAATGATGTTCTTACCATCTCAGCGAGAGCAGAGATGACCTTCCCCAGCGTGGTGAGCGACTTATTGATGTTGGCTCCTTCCTGTTCAAATAAACACAGATGTTTTTATTAAAACTGCAGAAAGTGACGATTAAATTGTTAAAAATATATAAATGCAGATGTGACCTCTGACCTTTAGCCGGGTGCCCTTCGCCCCCGAAGAGTCGGCGCGTTCACTTCCTGCCAGATCCACCAGGCTGATCTTACTCACCTGGACACACACACATTTTACATTTCAATAAAATGCAATGTATTATCAGGACAGTAAATATGTGTCTTTCTGTACCTTTTCGGTGTCGAGGCCGGTCATCTGGTCTCTTCGTCTCTGAGTGAAGACGATGGTGAAGACGGCGTGAGATCGAGACGACGTCTCGTTCATGTTGGTCGCCGCCACCGTCCTGAAGACAGGAAACAGGAAGAAAGACAGATATTAGAATGGAAACCCCCCATGAAGTAACACAGGTCATTTTCACAGGTCGACTCATCTGGACTACAGCTCCCAGAATGCCTTGTAAAACAGGATGTGCAGCTAATCTTACATTTACAGTCCCTCTGTGTGCTTATGATCAAATGATGTAGAGCATATGAACAAAGAATATCATAAATGTCTACGTTTAATTTAAAGTTTTTTTGGGTGTATTTGATGTTATATTTATCGGCTTTATCTACGGCACCAGAGGCCTGTACGACGAAGCCGGTTCAACCTAACCTGGATATGTTTGAGTTAGCCGGTTGGCCTAATCCAAAACATACACGCTCTCGCTAAGCGGTCCTACGACGCTGGTTATCAAGTGGATCGCTCAAGCCAGCCGTGTCCTATCTAGTTAGGCGTTCACATGAGAGGGGTAGTATCTGGAGCATTCGACCAATCACAGACATGGAGAAGCGCACTGACAGCGCAGCGTCATACTTCCTGAATGAAAAGTCAACTATAATATTAGACGTATGAAGAAGTTTAAACATCCATGACTTAAACACTTGATCCAGGATCAAAGCCACAGAGCTGCACCTGCAAGGTGAACACAGCTGGGAACAGAACAAGTGTTTGAATGCGTACATTAACAGCTTTATGATATCACTGCCCGTCTAAGACACCATCTGACTTTCATTACATCTGACTCCAGTGTTTCCTCAACTTAATGTGTTGCTTCAAATAATGCTTCTGCATCCAGTCTGTGACGCTGTGAGTGTTGCACGGCCAGATACGGCTCAGCTGACTCAGATCAGGAGATGATACATTATGAAGTGATATGGACTGTACTTAATGTGACTCTGATCCGGTTACTTATGTTGTGGCAGATATTTAAATAAGCTTTCTTAACGCTAATGTTATAATAGTCAGATTGCTCTGAAGATGGAGCTGATATTCTATTCATGTTCACGTTCACACAGTCGGTGATTTTTGCCGGCCGTCTTTCCTGCAACGGCAGCTTTTCTGTATTTCCTTTCTCCTGTAATATGACTTGATCGCTTTAAACTCCGCACACTGAGCTCTGATTGGTCAGCAGGCGGTGCTTTCACTGAGTTGAGCTCTTAGCCTGCAACCCAACCTGCTCCGGAGCAGGTTAGCCGCTCAGCATCAGTTACCATGGAGATCTAGCCCGCTAAAAAGAGAACCAGCTTCGTAGGACCGGAAACCCAGAGTTACCCTGAAATTAGCAGCTAAGAGAACATCCGGCTCGTAGTGCAGGCCTCTGACCCCGGATGATAGTTATATTATAGAATATAGTTTATATATTAATATAAAGACGTACCGCGCCTTGTTGCCGGCGTCCATCAGGTCTCGGATGTCGGGGAACCCGGTGACGGCGAGCTTTGAGAGATCCTCGACGTACGGGCCGAGGATCGGATGCTCTCGGACCCGAAGAGTCAGAGAAGACTTCGGATTCAAGAGGTCTCGAACGCGCTCGCAGTAAATCTCCATGTAGGACACCTGGAGGGTGAATGGAGATATCACACGTTAAATGCATTACATATAAAGATTTTAGCGTTTTCAACTAAATGTTTCGAAACTATAAAAAATAAAACGTGTTTTTAAAATAAAGAAAACCATTTTACAAAATCACGAACAATTATTTAGTTTTCTTAAACACAAAAGCAAAAAGATCAAAATACATGAAAATAATTCTAAAAGAACATTTTTCACAAAAAGTAACCGAGAATTATAGATTTCTTAAAAAAAGGTAGAAAAAAAACCCTTTAACAAGAAACACCGTTTGTTTTGATCAGAAATAAGAAAAACACATTTACAAAGAAATTAAGAAAATACAATTTTTTTCGAAAACATATCTAAAAATTAAATAAATAAATGTGACGACAACGTTTCACAGAAAACCCGAAAAAAAAAACACTACGAAATAATTGTACAAAGAAAAGGGATCAGAAAGTTGATTGAGTTTTTACCTCCACAGAGTAGTTGAGGTCAGGATCAGCGTTCCCTCCTGTCCTCTGGAACAGGTCCTCACACAGCTGGAGGGAGAGAGGGCTCAGTAGCGTTCACTCATATATAACACACATCCTACTGAGACAAGTACCTGAGGAATGATGCCCCCCTGGCCCCCCCTAGAACCGCCCTTGAGGTGAACTGAGATAAGTACCTGAGGAATGATGCCCCCCTGGCCCCCCCTAGAACTGCCCCTGAGGTGAACTGAGACAAGTATCTGAGGAATGATGCCCTCCTGGCCCCCCCCCTAGAACCGCCCTTGAGGTGAACTGAGATAAGTACCTGAGGAATGATGCCCCCCTGGCCCCCCCTAGAACCGACCCTGAGGTGAACTGAGATAAGTACCTGAGGAATGATGCCCCCCTGGCCCCCCCTAGAACCGCCCCTGAGGTGAACTGAGATAAGTACCTGAGGAATGATGCCCTCCTGGCCCCCCCTAGAACCGCCCCTGAGGTGAACTGAGATAAGTACCTGAGGAATGATGCCCTCCTGGCCCCCCCTAGAACCGCCCCTGAGGTGAACTGAGATAAGTACCTGAGGAATGATGCTCCCTGGCCCCCCCTAGAACCGACCCTGAGGTGAACTGAGATAAGTACCTGAGGAATGATGCCCCCCTGGCCCCCCCTAGAACCGCCCCTGAGGTGAACTGAGATAAGTACCTGAGGAATGATGCCCTCCTGGCCCCCCCTAGAACTGCCCCTGAGGTGAACTGAGATAAGTACCTGAGGAATGATGCCCCCCTGGCCCCCCCTAGAACCGACCCTGAGGTGAACTGAGATAAGTACCTGAGGAATGATGCCCCCCTGGCCCCCCCTAGAACCGACCCTGAGGTGAACTGAGATAAGTACCTGAGGAATGATGCCCCCCTGGCCCCCCCTATAACCGACCCTGAGGTGAACTGAGATAAGTACCTGAGGAATGATGCCCTCCTGGCCCCCCCTAGAACCGCCCCTGGAGTGAACTGAGATAAGTACCTGAGGAATGATGCCCTCCTGGCCCCCCCTAGAACCGCCCCTGAGGTGAACTGAGATAAGTACCTGAGGAATGATGCCCTCCTGGCCCCCCCTAGAACCGCCCCTGAGGTGAACTGAGATAAGTACCTGAGGAATGATGCCCCCTGGCCCCCCCTAGAACCGCCCCTGAGGTGAACTGAGATAAGTACCTGAGGAATGATGCCCTCCTGGCACCCCCTATAACCGCCCCTGAGGTGAACTGAGATAAGTACCTGAGGAATGATGCCCTCCTGGCCCCCCCCTAGAAACCGCCCCTGAGGTGAACTGAGATAAGTACCTGAGGAATGATGCCCTCCTGGCCCCCCCAAGAACCGCCCCTGAGGTGAACTGAGATAAGTACCTGAGGAATGATGCCCTCCTGGCCCCCCCTAGAACCGCCCCTGAGGTGAACTGAGATAAGTACCTGAGGAATGATGCCCTCCTGGCCCCCCCTAGAACCGCCCCTGAGGTGAACTGAGATAAGTACCTGAGGAATGATGCCCTCCTGGCCCCCCCCTAGAACCGCCCCTGAGGTGAACTGAGATAAGTACCTGAGGAATGATGCCCTCCTGGCCCCCCCTATAACCGACCCTGAGGTGAACTGAGATAAGTACCTGAGGAATGATGCCCTCCTGGCCCCCCCTAGAACCGCCCCTGAGGTGAACTGAGATAAGTACCTGAGGAATGATGCCCTCCTGGCCCGGCTCCTGCCTCCCCATCATGGTGTAACTCTTGCCTCCTCCGGTCTGTCCGTACGCAAAGATACACACGTTGTACCCTGGGAGGTAAACAACAACGTTAGTGTTGTTATTGTTGTTATTATTAAATAAACAGTTGGATGATGATGAGCAGCCGTTACCCTCGAAGGCGTGCAGCAGCATCTCCTCTCCGATGTCTTTGTAAACCTGACGCTGACACGCAAACCCCGGCTCCTCCGCCTGAACATATCAATCACAACAAACACACATTCCTCAAATTAAATACATTCGTTTCCTCAAAATGGGTTATCTTTCTTTATATCCTTAAACATTAAATCCACATTTGTATCTCCTTCAAATCTAAATATACGCTTTTTATTGACTAACTTATCAATACATAATATATTTCTCTAAACACATGATGTAGCAGCATGACCTCACCGTGGTGTGGGACCAGTAGGAATAATCGAAGCTGAAGTTCTTGGCTGCGTCTTTGGGCTGCTTGGGGTTCGTGATGCCTGGAGAACAATGAATGATTATAAACACTTTGAAACATCTTGCATTTATTCAGACTCACACAGCGCTGAGGGGTTTACACACATTTAAAACACTACTCTTTCTATGTTCTATGTTAGAAAGCAGAATACCCAGCATGCCTCTGTCTCCCTGACATGTGACCTCTGAACCTATTTAAACACACACACACACACACACACACACACACACACACACACACACACACACACACACACACACACACCCACAGGCACACACACTTTAGTTTTCTCCAGCAGGTATTAATTCTCTCGACTCGTTTATGACGTTCGTTTTTTTTCACTTTCTCTCTCATTAGTACTTAATAACTAGTGAGCATGTAGTATAGACATCCAGTGTGTGTGTGTGTGTCTCTGTGTGTGTGTGTCTCTCTCTGTGTGCGTGGTGTGTGTGTCTCTGTGTGTGTGATGTGTGTGTGTGTGTCTCTCTCTGTGTGCGTGGTGTGTGTGTGTGTCTCTGTGTGTGTGTGTGTTGATGTGTGTGTGTGTGTGTGAGTGTGTGTGTGTGGCCTAGCATTACTATACTTGTGGGGACCTAAATCTGTTTACACAGTCACGTGTGGGGACTCGCCTCCCTTATGGGGACAAATTGGAGGTCCCCATGAGGGGGATCATTAATTTTAGGGTGAAGACTTGGTTAGGGTTAGGGTTAGACATGTGTTGGTTATAGTTAAGGTTAGGATAAGTCTCCAGGAAATGCATGTAAGTCAATGTAATGTCCCCTGAAGTGATGTATACATGGTATGTGTGTGTGTCTCTCTCTCTGTGTGTGTGTGTGTCTCTCTGTATGTGTGGTGTGTGTGTGTGTGTGTGTCTCTCTGTGTGTGTCTGTGTGCTGTGTGTGTGTGTGTGTCTCTTACAGGTGGTGTTTCCCTGCATCTGGATCACACACTTGGCGTTTCGTCCCGTTTCTCTGGAGTTGAACGGCCGGACTCGAACCGCCACTTTCACTGAGGCTCCCGCCATATTTAGGCCCCGCCCACTTCACCTGAGGACAGCCAATCAGAGAGCTCGCTTAAAAAACACATTCTGTATTAGAAAGAAAATTATGAAGAAAAGAAAAAAAAGAAGGCAGGGAGGTTTTGAAGGGGACAGGACAGGTGCATCATGGGAAATGTAGTTCCAGGTGATTCTCACTTTTAAACACGATAACTTTATGGACATTATGTGTTTTCTGTTAAAAAGACACTTGAAGGAAATACAGTTGTAATAAAGAGCCGTCTATCCACAGAACATTCAAAGATAACACTTTTGAACAGATTAGTCATTAAGTTGAAAGAAAGTCAGAATACTTTGTGAAAAGGTTACGAATATTTAGGAAAAGTTGCAATATTTCTGAGAAAGAAGTTATAAGTATTGAAGGAGGAAAGTCACATTTATTGTCTGAATTTCTTCAGAACATTAAAAGGGAAAAGTTGTGATACTTGTGATGAAATACTTTTAGAAATATTACAGTTTTTGTGCTTTAAAAAAACAACAAGTTGGAATACTTTAAGGCAACATTTTGAAAACTCTGAGATCTTATATCGTAACGGACGTGGGAAATAATCTGCAGAATGTCTCTTTCTCACTTCCTTTCCCTCCTCTCTAAACCCTCCTTCCTTTCCTTCCTCTTCACACATCTCGTTTTCCTCTCCTCCTCCCTTTCCTTTCTAATATTGTTTTAACTTCTTCTCTTCCTCCTCTTCCTCCTCTTCCTCATATGTTCCTCTGTCTCCACATTCCTCTCTGTGTTGTGTTTGGGGTCTTCATGGAAACTCCAGTCTCTCTCTCTGTGTTACTCTACTCCTCTGACACAGGTCCGTCTGTAAGTGAAGCTAATGCAGAAGAAGTGTGTGTGTGTGTGTGGTCTAGTATTACT